GCAAATTTGATAATTGTAAGCTTGATAATAATAAGCTTGATTCAGACTAAAGTCTGGTAAGTGTAAGCTTTATAATTACAAGTGTAAGTTTGATAATTGAAGGTCTGCCAATCTTGATAATTGAAAGTTTGACAGTTGTAAGCTTGATAACTATAGGTCTGATAATTGCCTACATGGATACATACACATGTATAAATAACATTATGCACGACAGTTGCATGTTGACAAAAAAATGATGAAATAAGAAGCTGAGATATTTCTTATAAGACCTTTAATAGACTACATACATGACCTACCAGTGTAAAAGTAATTTCATTGTCTAACGAAGATGTTGATAGTTTTTCCGAGCAAAATTATGCGAGTTTTACTTTCTTAAACATAGAAAAGAAACTCGTGTTTTTATTCACTTTCTATTCACCTACCATACGTATCTACTATCTCGTACATAATTGATTTAAATTCAGCTGGAAAGTTATTAGAGCAGTAATACGATTCTCCTAATGTTCTTTAATAGAAAAACTATTTAGTAGTCATTGTTTCCTTTTCACTGTATTTAATTAAACGTGTCTTAAAATATTCTGTTATTCTTCTTAAGAATTTCGCTTTCTGTGTGTTCTCATAAATAAACTGATCACTCTTTGTTTTCATCCATAAATAATTTTATTATTCATTATTTTTTATGATACATATATTTCTGTAATACATATTTGTCAAAACACATGTATATTATACTTATAATAATTTTTGTTATTAAATATCAATTTTTGTAATAAACCATTGGAGGTTTGATAACTGTAAATTCAATAGTTGGAGGTCTGATAACTGCAAGCTTGATAATTGGAGGTTTGATCATTCTGAGCTTGATAACTAGACGTCTGGCAATTATAAACTTGATAATTGTAAGCTTAATAATTGGTGGTTTGATAACTGCAAGCTTGATATTGGATATTTGATCATTTTGTACTTGATAACTAGATGTCTGGCAGTTATAAGCTTGATAAATGTAAGCTTAATAATTGGAGGTTTGATAACAGCAAGCTTGATATTGGATATTTGATCATTTTGAGCTTGATAACTAGACGTCTGGCAATTATAAGCTTGATAATTGTAAGCTTAATAATTGGAGGTTTGATAACTGCAAGCTTGATAATTGGAGATTTGATCATTTTGAGCTTGATAACTAGACGTCTGGCAATTATAAGCTTGATAATTATAAGCTTAATAATTGGAGGTTTGATAACTGCAAGCTTAATAACCGGAGGTCTGATAATTGCATGCTTGATAATTGTAAGCTTAATAACTGGAAGTATAAAAAGGTCTTATGGAAATTTGAAAATTTTTGATAGAAGTGTAGAAATTTGCCTTCTTGACAAATTTAGATATTCAGAAATTTTACCCATTAGAAATGAAAAAACTTCGACTAACTTCCGACCAATTCCCCATTGTTTTAATTTTCAATCCCACCATTACATAAAATAAGTTGCAATCTCCGAAAGCAACAGTTTTTGTTCACGGTACGATTTTCGATTTTCTACAGCCACGAACAAATGATAGGTCTCTACGTAAAATCGTGTCGAGATGGATGCGTTTCCAAGCAGATAACCGCCGACCTTTTCGAATGCTTCCTGAACGACGAGAAAAAGACTTGATTACGTTGCCTCGCGTTACGACACGTTGAACCTCGAGGAACGGCAATCGATTCAGCGGAGAAAAAATCGCGTTATCGAAACGTGGGGTGTTTTTATTTTTCTCCGGTGAAAAAATGATAGGTGGACCCGTTCCACTTTGTGCACCGCACTTGTCGACATTTTGCTACGTGACAGTGCATGCGTGTTCGCTATACGCGTGCTAACTTAATTGCCACGTACCGCGTTTAGTTGTACCCGTTTCGAGCCAGTTTCGTAATTGTTGATAATAGCGATAATAAATTGACACTGCCTGCTGTAAAAGACATATATGGAATTTCATAGAAATATTATAACTCTTGATAGCGGAATGAATTGTGGCGTTGGGGAACTGTGGGGTTGGTGGATTTTTGAAAAGTTTAGTACTTGGGATCAATTATTTTTTAGACTTGTTTGTTTCTTTATTTTAAATTGGTGCAACAAACTTGCTCTTTTTTTTATTTTAAATGGGTACATTTATGATTTTATGGAGATTTGTTGAGTTTAGAATTTACAAGTTTTAGTTGGTTAATATGTATATTTTTAAATTTGTAAATTTCTGCACTTGCAAATTTTGGAATATCCAAATTTCTATATTTGTAAATTTCTAACCTCAAAAGTTTATAAATTTAAAAATTTCTAAGCTTGTGTATTTCTAACTTCAAAATCCTATTAACCTACAAATTTCAAAACTTCTGCATTTGTAACCTCAAAATCCTATAAATCTGAAAGTTCCTATTTCCAAACTCCTGCATTTTAAAATTTACAACTCAACACATTCAAACCCCCAAAAATATAAAAATGAAAAAATACAAAATTTTATAAATCTGAAAATGAATAAACTTGTAAATCAAAATTAAAAAATTGATCACAACTAGAATATTGCCAGAAATAATATTATTTTGCAATATAAATGAAGGTGTTCATCCCTTATTGACCACCTCAACGTCTCCCTGCAGATTTCTGGCGACTGTGTTGAAATATAAATGAATACCGTGATCAATATCATGAAGAACTAATAATACACGTTAGAGATATTAGCGATTGCATTCATTGATTTATGGTTTTCATTAATTCGTAAGGTATTCTGCATGACAGAGATAAATATCTTGAAGAGAATATTCAAATCGAGAATATTCTCTAATATAACACAACGAAATTTCATTTTACGATTGCAACTTAATAGCTCGAGAGAAATCTGCCCCTTTCCGGTTGTACGATGATTACTGGGACACTCTGTATTGTTGGTTTCCTGTTTTCTTGTACGATCGTTTAGGAAGCTCTACTTCCTTTCGCTATGATTTTAGACAGGCTATGTTGCATTGGTGACTGTATCTTCCACTATTTTTATAGTTTTTTTTATAAAGTTATTAGATTTATTTTTGACAAGTGTTTTGTTCAATTTTTTTTGACAATCTAAGGTAATTGGGTTATTAATTCTGTTTTTGGAGGAATATTTTTAAAATTCCATAATTTTCACATTCCACAATTCCCAAATTCCACAATTTTCAATTCCCAAATTCCACAATTTTCAGTCCTACAATTTCCAAATTCCATAGTTCCCAAATTCCACAATTCCCAAATTCCACAATTCCACAATTCCACAATTCCAAAATTCCACAATTCCCAAATTCCATAATTCCCAAATTCCACAATTTCCAAATTCCATAATTCCCAAATTCCATAATTTTCAATTCCCAAATTCCACAATTTTCAATTCCCAAATTCCACAATTTTCAATTCCCAAATTCCACAATTTTCAATTCCCAAATTCCACAATTTTCAATTCCCAAATTCCACAATTTTCAATTCCCAAATTCCACAATTTTCAATTCCCAAATTCCACAATTTTCAATTCCCAAATTCCATAATTCCCAAATTCCACAATTTCCAAATTCCATAATTCCCAAATTCCACAATTTTCAATTCCCAAATTCCACAATTTTCAATTCTACAATTTCCAAATTCCATAGTTCCCAAATTCCACAATTCTCAAATTCCACAATTCCCAAATTCCACAATTCCCAAATTCCACAATTCCCAAATTCCACAATTCCCAAATTCCACATTTCCCAAATTCCACCCTTCCTAAATTCCATAATTTCAAAATTCCCCAATTCCTAAGTTTCCTTATATTCTCAAATTACTGAGTCCCTAAATTTTAGTGAATCTCCATATTTCCCTCAATCTTACTAAATTCCCATATTTTCCTTTTCCCATATTTCCATAAAATTCCATATATCCCTAAATTCCAATGTGTCTCAAAATTTCCCCAAATTCTCCAAAATTCCAATTCTTCCCTAATTTACCAAACCTTCAGATTCATAAATTTCCCCAAATCTCAAAGTTGCCAAATTCCTACATACAAAAGCTTGAAAATAATTTAACCATCAACGCAAATATTTCCAATCCACCAAAAAATCAACACATAATAAATTCTTAGTTACACAAGGAAATATTGACAGTATTACATAAAATCCTCGCACAGAAACAGTCTGTACTACTTCATATAATATTCAAGCTCGAGAATCAAATACTTTCTAGCGATAATGTCCAATCAAACTTTCCCATGGCTGATTCTGAACGGTAAAGCTGTCTTATTTTTCATCGTTCATCCGTTACAATTTCTTTCCAGTAAACCAGATTTTCAAGTAGGAACTGTTAATCGTAGTACATTGGCCAGTTCGTATATGAACATATATATAAGTTCATGCGTATGTAAATACTCGATGGAAACATGTCTCGCATGAAAACTCCGGAAAATATAGGGTCTGCTTAGAAGTGAAAGGACTCTTGAGGGAATTTGCGCACGAATTATTTTGGCTATCGAACATTATTCCAGTTTCTACTTACACACCGTGGAAAACGGGTTTAATAACTTGTTACATACGTGTTACGTATGTTTGCAGTACCGTTTTATTAACTGAGTTTACAATTTTTCTTTAGATTTTATTCCGGATTAAATTTCATTACTATATGGATATATTATTACTATATTATTATTTATTAGAATTATGATAGAGTGACTTAATGATTTTTAACATCAGGTTTAGAAATTTATATGAAGTTTGTAATTTAGAACTTTACAGAAATTAATTTCTCCAAATTGTTCTATTTTAATTTGTTGTTGAGGATTGTGAATATTAATAATATAAATAACTTTGTATCTGCAAATGCAGAGAAATTTGTATGCAATAGTAAGTCGAAATAAAAATGATTGAAAACAGAGGATGACTGATGAAAATGATCGGAATAATTTCCATTCCAAATAATTTCATTCAAAACAGTTTGAGTTAATTAACTCACTAACTAACCCTTCTATCTTTATGTCCGCAGGATGCCAATTCTATCCGGTAGGAGAGTACCTAAAATTCGTGAGGGTACCCGAAAATCTGGGCAAAGGAACGGAGATCCTGTCTTTAGAGGCTCATCCAAGAAATCACATCTCAATTATGCCTGTAGACAAGGTCAGTGTTTTGTTACCTTATTTTCTCATCTGTCTGGTTCTTTTTGAAGTTGTCTTTTTTCCGACACGCCGTGTAATCATCCAGCGAACAGGATGAGCTTAAAACTGTATTTCGTGATACGATCTCTTATCGTGTCGATCGACAGCGATGTTGTTAAACGTAATACACATTTTACTCCGGTTGAAAGCGTCTGCCACTTAGCATGAATGAATATCGATAACTTTTATTAATATTACTAATACGTTCCGTTATTTCAATTTATCGACACTGTTCTGATGGTTATTTCTGTAGAAGATTATATTTTCATTTCTATATTTTTTCTGTGTATATAGTTTCTGATATGATCTGGGGATTCTTGCTTGAGCAAACATTTGGTTCAATGAACTGGGAATGTAGGAGTTAGGAATTAAGATATTTGGGGATATCTGGAGATGGTAATCTGGTAATTTCAAATTTGAGAATCGGGGATTTGGGAGTATAGGGATTTTTGTATGGCAGGTATTTGGAAATATTGGTATAGGGAATTTTGGGAATTCGAAATTTAGTGAACTTTATTTTGAGATTGAAATTTGGTAATTTTGTGATTTAGGAATTTGGAAACTTAGAAATGTAGAGACCTAGGGATATTGTGATCTAGGAGTATTGTAGTCTGATGGTATCGGAATCTAGGGATACAGTAATCTGGGAATACAGTAATTTAATAGTATTGAGATATAGGGATATTGTAATCTAGGAGCATTGGAATCTGCTAGTATCTGTGTCTAGGGATATTGAGATCTACAGATATTTTAATCTAACAATAGCAGTATCTAGGAATATGTTAGTCTTTTAATCTACTAGTATTGAAATCTAATGGTATCGATATCTAGGGTCATTGTAAATTAACGGTGTCTGGATCTAGGAATATTATATCTTAACGACAACGATATCTAGAGATATCCGTTTATTCCAGTTCATCCACACGACATTATAAATAGCATCCACTAGTTATTTTTAGCAAGAAAATTCAAAGCAGCTCATAATTATCGCGGAAATTATGAAACCAACGATAATTGAGTAATCGTGATCATTTCGATTGAATAATATTTCTCTCCTGGTTACAATTCCTTTCCACGGCGAAAGTGAATTTACGAACCTTGGATTCCGGTTTTACTGACGTGTGATAAGGTCGCGCAACGTAATGCAATAAAAAGATAAATGACAACGTATCTCATATAAATGTGATATAATATTACGCAACAAATATAGTGGAACCAAACGATATCCTTATCTGGCTATATTTCTTTTCACCGCGTTTATCATATATTATCTTTTTATCGCTCAATAAAATTTCGTTCATTAGCTATAATTATACAGATAATTATGTTAATGATATTTCACTTAATTAATAAATTATGCATATTACTGAACGGTTCCTTTCAAATTTTTGGAGCTATATTCATATAAAATAATTTTAATATATGCACATACAACAACTAAAATTTTATAACAATTATATTATTATGGCAGTCAAATAATTTTAATATATGCACATACAATAAATAAAATTTTATAACAATTATTATTATTATGGCAGTCAAATAATTTTAATATATGCACAAACAATAAATAAAATTTTATAACAATTATTATTATTATGGCAGTCAAATAATTTTGATATATGCACATACAATAAATAAAATTTCATAAAAATTATTATCGTCAGCTTTTAAAATTTATTCTCTCAAATTTCGCAAGATATGTATTGTGCATCGTGTATAATTAAATGAATAATTTTAGAAGGGTTCACATTACTTTTTATTGCATTCTTTATAAATTATGAAGAAATAATTAAAATGTATATATTCTATTTTGCAACGTTTCTAAATAATGTCAAGCTCATTAATTTAATTTTTAATTGTTACAGGACGAAGACGCCCGATTTTTCTCATACACGGAGACCAACAGGACCCATGTATCCTTAGTATTAGCTCAATCCTTGGAGGATCTGGTGGACGCCGAGGCACCTAGAAATTTGCTCAAGTTCCGCGTGGTCTGCGATTACTCTGATGGCGGTGATTCCCTGGTAAATTGTAGAAAGTACTCTCCACTAGATCAATTTCCTTAATCATTATATCGTATACGTTCTTCGTTGACCAGTGTCTGATATTACGAAATTACGTTTCGTTAGTGTTTCACGGTTATTTGAACCGCCACAAGCTGCCTCTTAATTATTGGTGGACCGTAATTGGATCATCGAGGCACACTTAAACATCAGTTTTTAATGGGCGAAATTAAGTTTGAAAGTGTCGTTTGAGGTTAGTGAAGTATTGAGGAAAGGATTTGTTTGAGGGAAAATAAGGTAGATATTTTTATTTAGGGTTTTGGGGTGCTGGAGATTAGGGATGGGGATATTTGGAAGATAGGAATCGTGGGACTTGGGAGTTGAGGGATTTGGGAGTTGAGGGATTTGGGAATTGTGGGATTTGGGAATTGTGGGATTTGGGAATTAAGGGGTTTGGGAGTTGAGGGATTTGGGAATTGTGGGATATGGGAATTGTGGGATTTGGGAATTGTGGAAATTGGGAATTGTGGGATTTGGGAGTTGAGGGATTTGGGAATTGTGGGATTTGGGAATTATAGAATTGGGGAATTATGGAATTTGGGAATTGTGGGATTTGGGAATTATGGGATTTGGAAATAGTGGGATTTGGGAATTA